GAAGGTGTGGAGTGCGGAGGTAGAGGGGTGCACAGAAATGGGCTGGCAACTGGGTCCGCTGTTGTCTTTTTCAATCAGGAGCGGGATACAAACTCCCAATTGCTCTAAACTCCAGTTCTGGGCAAGACTCTGGGGAACCAGACTCATACGGAGAGAAACTGTACTGTCTGGCATCGGGACAGGAACGTGAGGGCGGCTTTTTGGCAGAGGTGCTTGCAGGGGTCATTGTTCCTGCATGGGGCTGTGGGACACAGAGACTTGGGAACCATTCCGAGTTGGGACTGACTAGCAGCCATTGCTAGTTGTTCGGCCTGGTGATTTCATGAGACCCCGCCCCACCCTATTTACAACCCCACTGAAGCTGGGCGAAGAGGCTTTTGCATATGAATGGCCTGTCCCTCTTGCAACCTAAAACCTGATAAACTGCAGCTGGGTCAGAGAGCTTCAGAGCTTCCAATGGAAGGTCTAAGGCTATGCCGCAGCCTGCATTGCTCCACAGCTGGGCCTCACCTGGGCACCTCCAAACCCCAAACAAAGAGGAGGTATCTGCAGATCTCTCTGTAGCTCCTGCTGGGTGGCCTCAGGCAGTGGCTGACTCTGCACCTCCTTGGAGATCCAAGAGCCAGTGTAACCAGTGGTCAGTGTGAGAGCATAACAGAGTACAACTCTTCAGATCCATAAGCGACACACTCAGGGGGCAGACTCAGTGAGCACCAAAGCCCCACTGAAACAAGTCCTGCCCCATAAGGGTGTCTCCAGCACAGCAGTTCTCCCATTGTAGACACAGCTGGTCCTCGCAGACAATTGGTCTGGAGGTCAATTCCTTCCAGTGATACCAACAGAAATTAAGGCTTAACTATAACAAGATGTGCACACAGCCCACAAAGGAGTGCACCAAGAGTGGCCAACTCAGGTAAGTAGGGAGGCTGAGCCACTGGGCCCTATAGGACACCTAGCACACAAAGCCACTCTATCACCACAGGGAAGCAGGCAAAATGCAGAGACAAAGAAACATGTCCCAAATGAAAGAAATGGAGGAAAGCAAACTACTGGATATAGAGTTCAAACCCACGGTTGTAAGGTTACTCAAGAATCTTCTACAAAGCTCCGAGAAGTTTAGTGAGACCCTCAAGGATATGAAAAAAGACCAATTAGAAATTAAGAATATACTGACTGAAATAAACAATACTATACAGAGATCCAACAGCAAACCAGAGGTTCCCAAGAATCAAGCAAAAGATTTAAAATACAAAGCAGCAAAATACACCCAACCCGAAAAGCAAAAAGAAAAAAGAATCCAAAAATATGAAGATAGTGTAAAGGAGCCTCTGGGACAACTTCAGGCATACTACCATCTGAATGATAGCGGTGCCAGAAGAAGAGAGAGAGCAAGATATTGAAAACCTATTTGAAGAAATAATGACAGAAAACTTCCCCTACCTGGTGAAAGAGACTTACCAGTCCAGGAAGTGCAGAGAACCCCAAACAAAAGGAATCCAAAGAGGACCACACCAAAATACATCATAATTAAAATGCTAAGAGCAAAAGACAAAGAGAGAATCTTAAAAGAAGCTCGAGAAAGACAGTTACCTACAAGTGAGTTTAGATTGGACTGACAATTCTCAGGGTGAAGGTGGTGTGGGGGGTGCGGGAAGAGACTGGACAAAAATCTTACACCTATGGATGAGAACATTGCGGGGGCGGGGCGGTAAGGGCATGGAGTGGGGTGGGAACCAGGTGTAGTGGATCTATGGGGGGAAAAAAGAGGAACAGCTATAATCTGAACAATAAAGATTTATTTTTAAAAAATCAATTGAATTAACAAGAGAATCCCAAATGGTAATAGGTGTCCAGAAGAAAATAGAACAAGATAATATAGCAGTGTGACATGGCCGGGGCGCGGGGTGGGGGGAAGGTGACGAAGGATATCCTCTCTAAGGAAGTGACATTTTGAGACCTGAAGGAGGAGACGATGCCAGCCATGCGAAGACCATGGGTAAAGCGTTCCAGGCAGGAGGAGCAGCAAATACAGAGGCAAGAGGATGAGCTTTCCAAGGAATAGATCGAGGCTGGGGTGGCCAATTAGTGAGTGAGGAAGATGAGTTTGGGGTCAGAGACACAGGCAGGAGACACAGCACAAAGGAGACACTTTTGGGGCATCATAAGGAGTTTGAGTTCTGTGTGAAGTGTGATGGGGTGTTTTGAGAGGATTTTAAGAGAAAAGAGACATGATTCACTCTTCAATTAAATGGCTGATGTCCTTGGTTACTTAATTTTGAAATAAAATATCCTGGGAAAGAGGTAATTTGGAAGTGACATGACTAGGTTTGTATTATAGAGAGCTCACTGACATTTCTGTGAGAAGGGCTTTTGAAGTGAGGAGGATGCTGGATGTCCTAAGCTGGGATGGTGGCTTGGGCAAGCTTGACACAATGACCAAGGAGAAGTGGCGGGTGTAGGGTGGCATTTCGAGATACCATCAGGAGGACTTACTAGTACTAATAGTTTGGATAGAGGAAATGAAGAAAAGAGGGATTGAGGTGACTCTCTAGCTTTTGGCTTCTGCAATGACACGTGTAGTCGGTCATGTTATACCTCTGTAGAAGCACGCTGAAGAGATTGCCTAACATGGCCAAGGACTTGAGGCCTGCCTTTCTTTAAGGCGGTCTGCCTTGCTCACGTCTCCTGAAAATATTCTGCTTCTATCCTACCTGCCACACTCTCCATCTCTGATTTCTGGCTTCTTTTATCAAAAACAATAGATATGAGCTGCTCAGAGAAACTGGGTACTGGGTGAGAGGGACTCCCACTCTCTTTAAATTTTCTGATCAACCCTATCTTCTCTGGAAGGAAAAAAAATTTTGACTCTGGAATTTATGACACTGCACAAACTGGGTTGGTTTTATGTTTGGCCAAGGCATAGGAATTCACCAATGCCTTCCCCAGCCATTTCAAATCCAATATTGCATCGACTTGTGTCCTGGAGAGGAAGCCATTTGAGGTAATGTTTGCAAGACACTCAAGGTGGCCTACCATATGGAGCAATGGAAAGTGCCAAATAGGCAAAGCTGAGATCTTCTTTACCAGTTACCATATCACACAGATCCTGAGAAAGTCATTGCAATGATGTGCTTCAGTTTCTTCACCCAAAAAATAAGAATAGCAGGATCTATCTGATAGAATTAAAAGGAGAGCTAAAGGAGATAATACATGCAGACTGCTTGGAACAGTGCCCAGCACATAGCAGGAATAGTAGTAGTAGTAGTAGTAGTAGTACTGTTAGAGAGGAAGGGCAGTGGGAAGAGAGAAGATATAATTACTCCTTTAGGACTTCTTGCCTAAAGGAACATAACCTCATTTATACATATACATATACTAGTGACCTGGTGCACAAAATTTGTGCACATTTAAAGGGAATTAATTAGAGGAAAT